TTGAATGCTCCACAGAAAGTAGCATCCAACAGATGCACCTGTCATCTACCCAAGCTACATCCTGGGTACAAGATGGTCTGCACGTGTCGTTTAGGAACAGAAGACTATTTGCACAATAATCTTTTCATCCAATCAAATTGCACAACAGAATTCCAATGAATAATTATAAAAAATAGATGATTTTGAGAATGAAATACTACAGGCATGACGAACAATCTTTTTTTGAAGGTAAGGTGACTATAGATGTATGTAGCACCCAGGGACTGCTAGATCAGAAAATCCATTTACAGATGATGCCCGGAAAAAACAAATTACAGATTATGCAGTTTCCATAATTAGCTATGGAGGGAGCTGATAAATTCTATATGATCCGAGTATCATTTTACCAGCTCAAGTAGTTCCCATCTGAGTTTGTCTGGCTGCTGATCATCACTGATGTGGCCTTCTAAAGAGTTGAACATAGTAGGTCACTAATCTCCCAGTCCAGTAGGTTCCTTCTGAACAGGGGGCACCATGTGCCATTTTCTTACTGAGCTTCAGTATGCTCTCTTTGACCCAGTTTGACACCTATTTTCCCCCAGACTTCTCGATACACGCTGGTAAATCAACAGTATTAACACCATCACGGGAATGTCAAAGATCTGAACCGCAATTGGTTCAGATTTCTCAAAGGTCCATATCAGGACCTCCATAGGCTCTGCTACCATTTCTCCTTCTTGTTAGGACCTTCGGAGAGTCCTCATTGACGAATTTTCCTTGCTCTTTTCAATTCCACATTGTGATCCTCCTCAATAAGAGCAAGATTAATAGAGATTTGTGATAGCATAGGAGGTTCCAACAGGGCACTAATTCCACCTCTAGAACCATTGAGTCCACTATCTCTACCTACGTGTGTATATATTATCTCAAGTGACTGGGCATAAGCATATCAGGTTTAATTTGAGCTCTGCATTTTGCTTTGCAGGAGTCGGTATAGGCCTTACCATTCGGCTTGCTGCTTGCTATCCCAGCATTTTTCTTATATTTACCCTTTTCCTTTTCTTTAATCTATTTTATCTGGTTCATTACTCATATTTCCAGTTTATCAGCTTTTCCCTTATTAAGAGTAAAAAGGGGGAACTCTGTATTCCCGCTTTCGTTTGTATGAAATTTTAAGAGATAGCAGGCCGCATACCTTAGGCCGGCATCTTGTTAGTTCCAAAAACTATGTTCATTTGCAACTTCCAACTTTCAAAAGCTGGCCACAGGACCTCACCAGAGAACAGAGTTCGGCCATTGACTATCTCTGACCATGCTATTTCTTTTTTTACAATGGCTTTTTCTCACTCTTATTGTGAACTCAACCCAAATTGGAATTTAGAGGATCCAATTTCTCTATGTTAATGGTTGCAGAATCCTTTTCTCGATTTTCTTACTCTAATTCTCACCTATCTGAGAGGGGTGTTTCTCTAGTATAAACATAGAAATCCTTCGAACGTAGGTTCAATTGTTTGGAAAAAAATTCCGATCCTTAAGTGATGCAGAACGACCACCAATCTGATCAGACTTGTTCTGATTCTTCTGTGTTCCAACTGCATGCGATAGTTGGAGACCACTGTTTGAGATAAAGCCTCTTTCTTTCTATGAACCACTCTCTCCCAACATAATCCTCTCGACCAACCCCTTCAGAAGCTAGTTTTAAGACATTGCAGATCCACCTTACATTGTCAATCCATCACCTCGTGCTCATAAATTTTCGTCGCCTCAATGAGTTCGAATCTTACCAGCTTTTTCGTTGTTATTGTTTGGGAACTCTTTAATCCAACAGCAGACGAAATTTTCCATTCCGTTGTTACCTAAGTTATATTCCAGTCTCATCCTCCTGTACTAAGTTTAAGTTACTAAGAAAAGCAATCCAAACTTAAATCTAAATTCACTTGCCAAAAGTTGCTAAAAGAGGATGTGAAAGGGTGTGGGTCGAAGGTTTTTTAGGATTTCAGGATGGTTGGTTTCAATTTCTGATCATTTAAAGATCGTTCACAACTGTCTGATATTGTCGATTACTCGATTTGGAAAGATATTTTGTTTTTTTGGAGTAAAGTTGGTTGGAGACGGTGTATTGCCAGAAATCTAGAGAGAAGGATGAGTTTCTTTCTCCAAACTCATCCTGTACCTTCCAAAAAAATAGCATGATGAACATTCTAAAACTATGAATTACATGATACATCTATCAGGGCCGATAGAAGTTCAACTACAAAAAGCTACTCCAATATCCGAAAAAGAAAATGCACAATTTTGAGAAAGTTTAAGAAACCAGACATGTCAAAGATAGTTAATGGCGAAACACATTTCAAACTGACAGAAAAATTACTTCATAAAAACAAATTGCCACCAGAACTTTCAGTAGCACAAAGAATAAGAGAGACAGACACACACAAACAGACACAGACACAGACACCCCACTGAAACCTCAAAAGAGGGCAAAATTTGAAGGATCAGATAGATAATAAGGTAAAATCCAACTTAAAAGGAGAAGTCCAGCAGGAAAAAGTAACAACTGCTATCAAGATTATAGTGTAACGACAGCACAAAGTTACCTTGTGGGCATATTCCACATAATTTTCGTGAAACAGCTTGAAATACTGATGAAGTGTTGATCGGCCTTCAATTGAATCAGCGGCAACGGAGCGTAAATGAGGCGATGAAGGGGGCAAAAGAACTACCCTGGGCCCAGTAAGGAGCTCTTTGCTTATGATAGTAGGAATATCTGTATCTTTTGGCCCCTCTGAGTCTATGAGTTTGTCAACCTTATCAATAATTGGGGGAACCAGTGTATTCCAAGTCTCCATCTCCAACACTATACACTCACAAGAAGGGGTAAGACCCACAATCCATGAATCTCCGAAAGAATCTGACAGAGCCAAGAAACCACAAAGTGGGGAGGCTGAGGATGCTTCTCCTTGGAAAGTGCTAAGAACGGGATGCACAGAGGGACTTCTCATCATGTCCTCTTTGCCACTACTCTGATTAGTGAAAGGAAAAAAGTGCAACACTACTGAATCAATTCCTCCATCATGAAGGCAATATATTCTTTCTGAAATAAGGGGATCAACAAACATTGATATAATGGAACCGCTTCTTCTGGGCAGAGCTAAATCCACAATAGCCAGCCTTAAAAGAGGAGGTGAATGCCCCAACCATAAGGTATGATCAGGTGGCAGGTCAAGCTTCAAAATAGAGGTGTCACTGGACAATGACTCGCAAATCATTGCAAGGCCAACTATACTATCAGTTGAATCCAGACAAACCCGAGGTGGGCTACCGACCTTCCAAACCGGCTGTACTTCATCAGCTAAAGCATCAATTTGCAACTGGCCACCACTCCAAGCAGTTACGACAATAGAATCTTTGCTAACTAAATCATAAAGAAAACTGACAGCACGCCCTTCACAAACTGGAGGATGAACCGAGTCTTCTTCAACGCTGTGACTTACTTTACGTAAAGGCCCCTGCAAGTAAAGCCAGTGTTAAAACGGTGTTATATAGTTGGAAAGATAAATAAACGAGCTTTTCTTAAAAACGATTCCACCAAGAGATTAAGCCAGAGCAAAAAAAAGTGGCTTGCTTTGTAATCACTGGAAATAACTTCTTTTCCTTCATAGTGAGATAAGGAATAGTAGTGCAGCCAAACTTAGATGTTACCACGTGAAATTAAAATTTCACGCAGATTTTTTACTTCAAGAAACAGGAAAAAAGGACAATACTCATTTATGCAAGATTATAGTAGTATTTATTTCAGCATAAAAAGAATAAGAGAGAACAGAAATGAGGCCCTCCACACGAAGAAATAAAAGTTCAGTGGATTGCTTTTCCGAGGAGATACATGAAGAGAAGAATAGGGGCTATTTCCGTTCAAATACGGCCTTAATTTGTTTCACCATGTTTTCCACTTCAATCTTTATACTAAGGTTTATAAGACTTGTCCGAGTCGGCATCCTTCACCGATACACAAGCAACTGAGACAGAAAAAGAGTGTCTCATCCAACAAGACATTATCCCAAAAAATCAATATATTAGATAATAAGGGCAGGCAGAAAAGACTTTCTACTGTATCTTGCTTCTTGCTAGAGCAATCCAGCTAGAAAGCACTATGAGTACTTATTCCTCCGTGTATGCTCAAATGAAAGGTAGAAAACTGTTTTGTTCTCCCATATAGATCAGTATCAACCAATCTTCTGTTTTTAACAACATTACCGCTTACAATATTCAATGGTGCCATGTTACTACAATCAGCAATCAGAGCCATTTTTTACCTCTTTCATATTAGCAGAACGATTAAAAATAAAAACGAGGTAAACATGGATGTGTTCTTCCTTCATATCGTTAATCACTGAAAATCAAATTAATGTTGGTCTCTGAAGAAGTTCAAGGTATAAATGATGCCCGACGAAGTCCAACTTTTTTTTTGATGGGTAATAATTAAAAGTGTAAAGTGAATGTGAGATGAAATTAGTAGACAAGAACTAATTTACACAAGTTGCCTGTTCCTGCTGTAAGGAAGGACAGCATGCTGCACAGCATATCAATTAGGGCAATCAAATCTGACAGTCCATATTCATGAATATTCACATATGGCATTGAATAACAAGAGAGAGAAAAAATAATAGAAGAAAAATGAATCAAGCCATAATGCAAAAGAGATGAAATTCCCTTAACTTCTACGATGGTTCTCATCCATCTAAGCAAGTCAAAGTGGGTATTGGCGGATATGGACCAGATGGATTTTTTTTTTTTAAATGGAATGAATATGGACCAGATGGATATACTCAAGAACATAAGAACTGTTAGTTAGTAAAGTACCTGCAATGAGATTGACGCATCAAATAAAGCATAAGGCTGAGCTCTAAGTACAGAAGCATTTTCTGCATGAACTTCTTTCCGGGCTAGTTCAGGAAATGTTGCTTCCAACCAAGAGATTGCCAAATTTGAGTTTTTCACAGCTTTTGAATTCGATGATTTCAGACCAAACACATGCGCATCACTATATAACTCCAGTATAGATTCCCATTTGTACACACTGTTCAAATGTAAAGAATCTACTTTAGTGAGTTCAAGTGAAATATTGCGACCTGCCTCTTGCATAGGCTAAAAATAGCAGACACAAGGAATAAGTAAGAACATTTTCAAATTAGAAGTCCTCAGAAAAAAATGAAATGAGAAATATGGGAGGGGAAATAATTCCTCTTGGGGGAAGACTATAGTCTATGAGATCTCTTATATAGACAGACAAGCTTATCATAAAAACCTTAAAAAATACTACCTATCAGCAGATCAATTTTACAGCTGAGCAAGAATAAGAAAAGTCAGAAAATTATGGAAATATATTTTGTATAAAGACCTTTAAAATAATTTCATATTACTTCACACACTGTTATCAAAGGCGAAAAGCGCAAAAAAGCTCTAAAGTTTGTTGGGGCTTTAAGCGCAAAGCGCAAATAAAGCGTGAGCTTTAATGAAAAAAGGCGCAACTGGAGAAAAAGTAAAACTATGTATATGTAGTCAAGGCTAATAATTATAAGCATGAATAACAAATATATGGACAAAGAAATCGAAAATAATTTATGATAGTTAAATATCAATTGTTTAATGTCACCTTTTCATGATTACACTCATTGGCAAGGAAAAGTATGCCTTAGAGCCTTGATGCGACACTAAAGCGCCCACGAAGCGAGGCAAAGCGCTCAACATGCTTTGAGCCTTGCTTCAGGCCTTAAGCGCTTTAAGTGCGCCTTTGACAACACTGACTTCACAACCATCAATTCAAAATTAAATTTTTCTGTCCATAAGTATCTCTGAACAAAAGCTTAAGAATAGCAGAACTCTGATCTCTGGTAAATTACCTTCCAAAGGGAACAACAGGACATAGGATGTAAACTGAGCCATCACTAAACAAGATAAAAACCTGCAAAAAATAAAATAAAAACTCAACTTTACCACACAAATTTAGTGACAGTAAAACCACTTGATCAATAACCGCCGCTACCTGGAGATGTTAGATAATGGGCGTTAAATTTGCTTACCCTACATTTATTACTCGATCTATCTGGAAGTGTAGACCTTGTTCATTATATAGTTATCACCAAAATATCGATACAGCTTTGAATCATAAACTATTACCATGCCATTCCTTCTATTCTTATCATCCAACATATCCATATAGCTAAAAGATTATGAATCACTGATGAAGTCCAATTCTATCAAGTCCCAGAATGTGTCATCAGGGCATCACCACAGAATACCTGAGCATATAAGCACTAGGTCTACAGTATAACAGAGAAGTGTTAAAGAATGGAGCTTACACTGAACCTGTCCCACAAATGATCCCCCCCAAAAGAAAAATCGACGGGGCAGATTGATGTGGCATTGTGCGAACTGCCAGGCTCCACAGGCTGCAAATAATACTCCTGTTCTGGCTGACCAAGGGCCGACGACAGATCATAAACCCTGTATATGAAGGAACATCAGTAAATATAGCTCAATGTAATTTGTCGATAAAAAGAAATAACATATAATTCTCCAATCAGCAAGTGATTTAACATGCATCTGATATGTTAAGAAAGTCGTAGAGAATAAATTTTCTTTGAAAAAAAAAAAGATGTCTCCGCCATTGGATAACAAAAAGAATGTGCCACACACCAGTTCTACGTGCTCTGACAACTAAAAGCCCCAAAAATAGTGATCCTTTGCACATGCACACCCAGTGAGAAGTGAAGGGGAAAAGATGTTACTGCCTAGGCAGTGTCGCTTTATGCAATAACATGGTTCCAATGAAACCAAGCTTTTGGCTCTAAATGTAAATGGATCCAAGTCTTCTGAGTTCCAATTTCTATCAACTTGTACTACTGCAAATGAAAGAGCATCATCAATTTGTTCTAATGAGCAACCATATGGGTGAAATTACTGACAGCTCACTTCCTAAAGTAAGGTTGTTGTCCTTGTTCATCTACAATCTTTGGGATTTGTTGCTTCTTAACATTTTTCAGCTCACCATGTCCAAAAGGATCAGCAGTTGAACGAATATGCTAATGATGTATTGCATCTGACTTAGACAATTTAGAGAGCTCTCAGATGGCCACAAGTACATTTAGACTCGTGTAGCAGACCAAAAAACAGCATGCTGTTCTCCATAACTCTTTGATTTACAGGCCTACTTGTCCAAATTAGGGAACAATTTAGTTTAGAGATATATCATTGACAGAAAAGCAAACATGACGGCGTGCACCCAAAAGAAGAACAGAACAAACGGAAACCTCATTTTGTCAGTTCAAATACTCAATAGATGTTTCACAATTAATGTAGTTTAAGTAAGCCAATTTAATAACATGTTTTCTATGAAGTCGTCCTCGCCACAAGTCTTCTTTTTCTATGTGGAAGTGGCATATAAATTGACAGCTCCCAACAACCATGTAGCACTAGAACCAAACAAAACCTTCCCAACAGCCCTTCTTATTGCTTAGGCCTCAATCTCTTAAGGCTATGGGCATGCCACTGATCCTACAATCAGCACTTAAGGCTTTTGTCGGAAAACTCAAAACTCAGCAGGTGCTTTTTCTTCTAAGATTAATGAAGCTAGCTTGGCATACTTTTAGTTCCAATATACCATTCAAGATACGTTGGTGGTATTTGGTTTCAATAATTAAACCTAGCGGGAGGTAGTGTAGGCAAGCAGATAGGTACAGTATACCTTCCTCAACAGCTTTATCTCTTGCTACCCTCAATGTTATCAATAAATATGGGTAATGAAATTTTGCAGTGATTTCTGAATATAGCCATCTTGCTTACAACGAAAAAAGGGTCAACCAGCAGAGAAAGTATGACTAACATGCAACTTGGGGAGTACTTGTATACCTGGCTAAGAAAGAGTTTAAGAGTAAACAAAGAAACTTCCTTTTAATTTTTTTTTTATTTTTGATAAGCAAACTTCATTTTAAATCGAAACCTAGGCATTGTGAGGAGGTCAAAGATTAGGTAGGCATTTTACAAGAAATATGTCTTTATTCAGAATTCAAAAGTCAAAGACAAATTTGATTATAGGAACTCATGAATGACAAAGCTTGTAGCATCTACTTTAAACAAATAAAGAATTGATCATAGTTAAGAATCACGTCATTTAAGTCCCCGAAAAAAACTCAACAGTAAAGTAGATTAATTTGATTATAGGAACTCATGAATAACAAAGCTTATGGCATCTATTTTACACAAATAGAAATTTTTTAATAATAGTTAAGATTTCATATCAGTTAAACTCCCAAAACATGAAGTAATAGTCAAAACTAACATACCCAAAGCCCCTTCTCCTCTATTATAAAGAGATTCTTTCTCTATCCTTCATTCTCCTTCAAACTTGTCTATTGTCAGCCTATCCAATGGTTCATAAATACAGTTAAAAAAATAAGTGAGGTCCTCCTGTATCTTAGTTTAAGTCCTGTTTGCACCCGAATATCCATTTAATTTGGTATCCATTAGAGAAACCGCACAACTAAATTGCACCACAACTTCTTTGGTATACTCAGTACTTGAGCAGGAGCAGCTCACAGAACAAATGATTGGAAGCAACATGACTAGTAGTGTCTCTTCAGCAACATGAAGCAACACATCATTTGTAGCTTGGTAATTCGTTTTAAGTGCATAATAGTCTCTTTTAATATGTTATTTATACTACCTTCCCCTATAATTAAATAATCTTTCATATTAGGATAGGCTGTGACTTGGAATGACTCATCCCTATACGCCTTTTCGCGTCCAGAGACAAGATGAGGGAATGAGCCATCTTGATGCCTCCTTCCTCGTCTCGAAACCAACCGTGGCTTTTGTCCTTGAGGCATCCATATGCATTTCAAATGACCAGTAACCACTAAACAAATTGAAAATCTTAAAAAAGACTAATCGCTTAGATTATTTTAAGCGAAGTCATTGTCAAGAAACACTAATTTACTATCCCAAGTCAGGGCAACCAGGACCATCTTACCCAAATTTCAGCAATTTTTTTAATAATGATGGTGTTTGGAACAACTTGTGTACACCTGGACTATTCCGCCAGAGATCTACCTTCTAGCAGCACAGATACCTAGCAAATCTATCCACCAAGGCTTTGGCATATGGGAAGAAATCACCTAGTATTTTTTTTGTCTATGCTCGGATTTGAACCCTGATCTCCAAGGTTTGCATCCGCTTCATTGACCACGGCCACATCATTAGGTGCCAAATTCCAATAATTTTACCGGAACCATATCAGAAGAAAAATGAAGCATATATCAAAAAGAAACTTACTCTAGCAAACTTTGTGTTAAACAATTTAAACTTCAAGATTCTGTCTAGAACATTTACTTCATAGGAAAAAAATGTGATTAAGCATCTTTATAGATGCAAAACACCATAATTCAAGTCATCAAAAGAAACAAGGAGCAGAATATTAGTAACTAAAACTGATCAAGCAGTAGGAAATCCAAGAGAAGTGCCTTCTGCTCGTGCTAACAATCCTTAAGTAGTAGATAAAGTACCAGCGCCAGTACCATCAATAGTATAAGATATCCAATAATTGTTAGGTAGGTCTCTATATGCATTAAACCATGATTTAAGAGGATCACGAGGAAGCAACAACAGTTTTTACTGCAAAATGATTACTAATCCAGTTAAGATGTCTACACAAACAAAGATTTAAAAACTCTTTACAGGTTTTTAACATACACCAGTTGAGAACTTTATCATCAAATAGTCCTAATACAAATTGACAATGAAGAAACAAGTACCTGAAAACGGAATCAGAAGAGAGGATTCCCAGATGGGTGTCACTGTAAGGGTGCCAACAAACCTGCAACGTGCGTATTGAGTTGTTTTTATCAAAGTAAATCTCTGAACCAACTGAAACTGTCCTGCAACCGACAAAAGAAAATAAACACATTCAAAGTGACTTCTAGTGCACCGCAACTAATTATCAGACAACAACATAATTACCATCAAATCTTGTTACTGAAGAAGGAATCCATCATGTCTATTTTCATTTAATCTCCTAATACAGGTGAGAGGATAATCTGACTGGTCTATTCAAGGATTACAGTAATAAATATATTTCACTCTTAAAAATTGCTATTTACACAATAGAATGTAAATTAGGAGGTCGAAACAAATAACCTGCATTCTGACCCTATAAAAGTCCTTTATTTATATTAAATACAAACAAATGAAAATAAACCAGAAATTTTGAAGTTTTTACTTTATAATAAAGTAAATTATTTTGTTAAGTGCAGGATAGCTCCTGTATACAAGTGATGTATCAAAAAGGGAAGAACCTACACAGAATATGGTTCTCCATAAATGGCACTCAAACTTTTACACAATAAGAACCTCATGGGTGCACCAAAGACTAACTAAAACCAATAGGCTATTTCTAAAATGTGCAGAATCTTTTTATACCCCCTCAGAAGTTCTCATTTCTCTCTTTCCACAAGATCCACATGATGGCTAGGGTGGCAACATTCTATGCTCTGAGTCTTCTCTTCTTTCAAAAAGCCCACATATGGAACATGTTCTTTACTAAACCAAGCATCACTGCTGCACCTCAGACCAATCGGCTTATGCACAATGCATTAGACTGTGAATTCATATCAGGATGCCATCACTGCTCATTCACGGCATATGAGGATAAGTATACCGTCATTAGATATATCCAAACACTTCGATTTCAAATTAAGAAGAATAAGCCTATTTTTCACCAGAAAACCCCAACAACCAAATTTTGCAATCACTTGCCATTTTTTAGCTCCTAACTCACTCACTTTCTTCTTAAAGCACAAAGTACAATATCTCTTCACAAGAATCCCAGGAACCATTTTTGAGAAGATTCAGGAGCCATGTGTGAATTCATATCAATCTCGTTATTAGATTAGCAATGGCCAGAACAAACAGATGGTATTACTGTTAGTTGCAGTCACATGAAATCTGAACCGCTTTGAATCAGACGAGACATCAGCATGTAACTACGGATTCTCAGGCCTCTTGATGAAAGATAAATCTCAAAAACATAAATAAACAAATAAAATAAAGAAAAAACAAAGGGGGAATATTACATATGCAAGATCAAAATCAGTTTTCAAGAACCAATGCTACTTCCAAATGTTAAGTCATAAGGTTTCAAATGATTGGAAAAAAAATTAAAGGAACAGTGGCTTTAAATAGCTATACCAGAAAGATCATAACTTCTTTCATCCAACGAGCAATAATATTGCATCAGACTAAATACACACGACGCTTTCGAAGATAAAGGAGAATGTACTCGTCAGAAGAAAAATTGTTAACAAATATAAAGAGGACAATGACATTGGTAACACTATTGTTTTACACTTTGGAGCCCAAAGAAAACATAACCTAGCAAAATCAAAAGGAGGAAGTTATACCGGCATATAACTGTATTTTCTTTCGTCGAAGTCCTTCCATAGAGATACATGACGTATAAACCATCCAAGCCAACTAGGAAAAGTGCTGATCCATTTCTATTAATGGAAATTCGCTGAACCTCAAAATCCAATTGCATATCAGCTTGCAGTACCTAAACAACAACCAGCATCACCAAATGCGTAGCTTAAAGAAGTAGTAACTTGGTAGTAGTACCAATGCATTTCAACAACAAAACAAAAAAAAAGCAATCAGAGCAAACAGATATGGTTTATTTGTCATCAATGGACTAGTGACCTGATAACACGGATAGGTCATAGGAGTGTTAGTCTTCAATTCTTGTCCTATGCATGTCGTTCTTAACGTTGCACAACGAGAAAAAGAAGCTTCGAAAGTAGGAAGAGGGAAGCATTCTCTGTAGAAGTCTAGTAGAATAGGTATTCTGGTGCGCAGTAGATAAATGACAGTTCAGCTATCCAAGTGAACATAATTGTCAAATCAACTATTGTCTAGCAGAATGAATCTGATATCACAATTATCTCAAAGCCCCAAGAATGATCTGTTTAAATTAAAAAAAGAAATAAAAAACTAGCCAAGTTTAAGTTAGCATAATTTCCTCTTTCAGATAGAGTGCTAAGAGCATCAAAGAATAATGTAAGAGAAGTTCAAATATGTCTCAACTAGGCAGTACCTGTAAGGCTGAACCTGAAGAAACAAGAGGTATAACAGTTTAAGATCGTGCTGAAGTTTATTCTAACATATAATACAAATTGTTCAGCTTTATTATGTTACTTTTAAAGAAGGAAAATCAACATTTCAACAGCAACGTCTGAGTAACTCGAAGGAGCGATCCCTCTAGCTCCTTGAACTTTGGAGAAATAATCCTATGACTTAACTTGGGAAAAAGTGAAAAAAGAAGCATAATGTGTTGATAAATCCCACAGCCGCAGGTTCTAAAGTTCACAAGGATCAAACAGTCTCAAGGTTCTATTCCCCATTGTCTTCAATAAGCCTAATGAGTCTAGCTTAAGTGTCATATCTTTATAATAATCTCATTTTTTGTCATATATCCATCAATTCAGCCTCTATCACAAACTATTCAGGGTCAGTATATGAATCATCTATATCCATCCTGCTCCATTCACGCTCCCTTGTGTGCCATCTCATCATGCTTAGTTACGTTTACAAAATCCATACGTATAAAATTCTTTTTCTTTAGTTTTTCTCTTTTCTCTTTTTTTGGGGTTCGGGTAGAGTTGTATTTAAAACATTGGAGCTGCATTCCATATGTTACTAGAACAATCTTAGGAGAATGTCATAATCCTCAATTCAGCCCTAATTTAAAGTTTCTCATGCTCACTTTTCCGAGAATACTAAATTTGCAAACAATGAAGAAGGAATACGCATTTCGTGAACATATGTAGAATTAAGTAGGGACCTTAGAAGGAGAAGCGGCAAGGACGGAAGTAGGGTCCGGTTCGCCCAACCGAACAGAGAGCCGATGCAGACAACTTTTGTAGGAGTCCCAAAAGTAGAGACGAGAAGCTCCGTCCCACGCCAAAAGGTTTTTAGGCATTGTGAAGTTGGAGGAATGGGCGGCGCCATCCCTGTTGGGAGAAGAAAAGACTGGGTGGTTTTGTAAGGGTAGCCATTCCAGTTCTTTTTTGGGTGTTGAAGCTGAAGTTGGCATTGCTGATTGACGGCCACCGTCGTCGGCGTCACGGGGCTCCGACAAGTCGAAATTGTATCTCATGCTCAGATGCTCTTCTCCTACTCACTTCGCTTTGGGGTTTTGGATTCTCCCGCTGCTAGCAAACGGGAATCATTCGCCTGAAAAAGATAACGATAATCTTTTAAATAGTGATTTATGAAGTTTAACACTTCAACCTAACAGATATCCCGATTCATTTCAATCTATGACCAATATGCATACATGTGATAATATTGAAAACAACAGTATATGATTTTTTTAATATGTACTCTTTACTGAGATTTCGTGTCATGTGAAATCGTAAAAGCACTAGAAGGAAAAGAAATGAATTAAAGACGCACAAAAAACACAAAAGGAATTTAAGTCTAAAATGAAAGGATAATTTTATTATTTATTAATTTAATACATGTATTCTTATTTCACATTTTATCCTGCATAAAATAATATAAAAATTCTCTTATTATTGTATACAAGTATTATTTTATACGGGCATAAGAAAAGAAAAAATCTAACCAAAATATTGTACAAGTTATGCAATATTTTATACAAAAAATTAAAAAACCAACCAGATATTGTATAAGTTACACAAAATTTTATACTAAGACCAACTTGTACTAATAAGTTGTGTTAGATTTCATATATATTTATTCAAGGCAAACCAAATGACCACTTATGTTTCTCCAAATACTCAAAAGCCTTTTATTTACACTTATGGGTTGTTTAGTACGAAAATAAGTTATCGTAGGGATCAATTATGTGAGGACTAGTAATATATGATGTAGTAATATAAGCATTATTTCTTGTTGGGTGTTTGATTAATTATACTAAAATTGCATATGCAAGATATTGTTTAAAATATTTATTTATTTTTAAATTAAAAGGCTATAAATTTATAACTATACCCTTGAATGCTTGACCTTCATTCAATTCTAAGAAAAAGACAATGATAATTTTGTCCTTGTGATGCATTATCCACGTATAACTTATACGTAGAATAGTATTCTATGTTGTTGGTAGTATAAAATAAGTACACCAATTGGTATATTAAGTTATAATTCATAATATAAATCAAACATTAAATAAAGTTATAAGTACCAAAATATGTATTATGATTATTTACTTATACATCATACCAAACGACGCTTTACATCTTCTTTGGATGCTTGTTACATACGTTTGATAATGTATCGTATTGTATTGCATTATGTTGTATTGTATTATTTTGGTGAATTCAACGTTTGGATAGATTGCATTTGCCATCGTTTCATGATATTACACACTAGCAATATGAACAATAAACTTGCAATATTATAAAGAAAAAATAGGATACGAGGTAAGATTAAATAAGGTAACGACTCAACCACACCAAAATCAATCGTTACATAAAGTGATACTTTTCGTCATTACATAACGATGAATTTAACGATATGGTACAATAAAATTTAAATAATAATCTAAATAAACTATGTATCTGAAATAACAATATGATACAATAGGTAACAACTATCCAAACAAGATGTTAGTATTTTCTTGGAAGAGATTTAATTATTTTTTAAAACAAATGTCAGTTTATGTCACGACCCAAATCCTAACCCGTCGTGATGGCGCCTATCGTGGTACTAGGAAAGCCGGCAAAAATACTCCCAACATTTAACATAAAATGAATCAAGTAATTTTAAATAACCAAAAGTTTTCATAAAACGGGGTAAAAACCCAAAACACAAATGCGGAAAACAACTCCCAAATCGGGGTGTCACTAAGCTTATGAGAATCTATACATAACAATCTAGAAAAGAAATGCCTATCCAAGTCTGGATCATAATATAATTAAAAAAAAGGTAAGGAAAGGAGAAACATGTTCTTGTATTGAATATCATCCCCTTTTACAAAAATGACATGGGTACCCTTTATATAGGAGGGTGAATCCCAATATAATACATATGCATTATTACAAAGATATGCAGCTGGTAGAGCTATTTAATGTCACGGTACGGACTTGCACTAGCCTAGTAGACCAAGTCAGCTCTAGCCACGTGCCTTGGGAACCTCTCGCTTGTCCATCATAGCCACCGATTTTGCACTGCCCCGAGGTCGAACATAGGGAACCCTCGGGGTCGATCCTCGAGTTTTGCCTCGGGCCTTCTGAATATGGGCTATGAAGTGTCATAATAATCATAAAATCGGACTCTCCGATTTTAGTCGTACACATCGATCCAGTTAATTTCATAATTCTACTAGGCATTTCGTCGAACACCTATGACAACTGATTCTTGTAGGAGTGTTTTTTGGAATGTTGCGTCGATTCGAGCACTGTTGAGACAATTTGACTGATCATTATCAATCTCGTGGCCATGACAAACAATTTGACATTGGTCTTGGACATTTTGGATCGCTGGAACGCCATCGTCGGCCAATTGGAACATTATTGAGTTGATCATGTTGGTCAAATGTCTTGATGGATTGGTCTGCAACTTTGTTTTCCCGGTCCTTAGGTGTTGTAGATGAATTTCCACTAGCCAATTGATCACGATTTGGGCCCCAATTGGATTGCCATTTTGTTGAGCACCTGGAGGGTTCACGATGTCACTGAGCTTTGATTCCAAAATTGGAGCTTGTGATCGGCCACCATGTGAAATTTGCGGTACAATCACATCCTTGTTATCAATACAAACATATTGGTGTCGAATTTTCTCCATTTGGACCCCTGGAATACTATTAACGACCGTTTCTATTGTGTCGATAATCTGCAGTTCGTCGGAGACGTCGATTCCCATGGTGGAAATGCGTGAAATTTGGTAGAGGGGTGTGTCTGATGATGGAGAAGATTTGACATTTGGCCCAGAACTCGCTTGAGAAACACCAGAGACTTCCATGTGATTCTTGTGAACAATGGTCCCTGCGCCTTTTTGGATGCCTGTCACAGCTGGGCTATTGTTTTTGCATGAGGTTTGTTGGGGGAGTTGCGCTTCTGTATGGTGTATCTTTTGTTGGTAGTCCGACGGTTTTTCACCGGTGGATGACGGTGCTAAGGCCATTTTGCCACTGGAAGTTATGAGTCTCCATGTATGGAGAGAATTTTGCGGTGCAAGTGAATTGGAGGGTGATTCATGTTTTTAGCGTTGTTTGATGTGATTTGAGGGCTCGACTAAGTTCGTATGGTGTTGTAGGACTTGTTGGTATATTTGTTTGAGGTCCCGGGGGCCTCGGGTGGATTCCGAGTGGTTAACGGACTAGTTGAATTTGCAAAAATTTCTGGTGTTTCAGTTGTTGGTTTCCTCTTATGTGATTGCGTAAAAGGGGACGCGATCGTGAAGCCTTGAGTTATGGAAGTCACCTTTTTGTTCTATGTGATCGCAGGTGTTCATCCGCGATCGTGAAACTTGCTGGCCAACTGAATCTCGGACGCGTGGCTTGTGCCACGTTCGCACTGAAGGAAGGGATGGACTGGGAGTGGTGCTTGATTCTATGCCGTCGCGTAGTTGTGCACGCGATCGCGTCCTCCGTGTTCGCGACCAGATACCCACATTCGCATTGTATGTTTTAAGTTGTTGAAATTTTGTTCTACGCGATCACGTGGGAATTTCCGTGATCGCCTAGTGTGAACACCTGGGCAGACTATAACATTTCAAAAACGAGGGGTTAGTCATTTTTATCAAAACTTGAGATAGAGAGCTCGGATTTGGATGAAATTTTGAGGGATTTTTAGAGGCATCGATTGGGTAATGATTCTTCACTTATTTTTGGTTATATTCCGCTACTCTATCGTTAATCCCATCCTTTAATTTCGGATTTGAGTCGAAAAATTTGGAAAAGATGGGAAAAGTTCTTCAACCAAATTTTTGGGTTTTGATTGAGTTGTTGACATCGAATTTGAGTAATTTTGGTACTAGTGAACTAGTGGGTGAATGGGTGTTCGTATTTTGTGATTTTTTTTCTCTTTGATATACTTCACCTAGTCCGATTGCACTGACCATAGATCCATTAATCTCGTCCACCCAGTACGAACTCCTTAGGCAATAAGCCACCCCGGATATCACCAAAAGTCTCATATGATGCCACAACATACCAATAAGTTATAGACCCCGATCATGATACATAAGGAAAACGAACTCTGGAAGGGATTACTCAACTTGGGCAACAAATATGAACCTTCCTCAGAAAATGGGAAGCAAAACACATAAAAATTAGAATATAGGGGACTGAACTCAACATCACACTCTTGGGGCGTGGAACCCTACCCAAGCTACATACCCGTGGCGTCGTGCCACCTGATCCACACATAAAATCTATATAAGGAGATACATATCGAGCTAGAGTGCTCATTACTACAAAATACCGAATATCGGCCACAAGCACGCTAAGTGCATAATACCATTCCTGGGGAGATAGATAGCGCCATACGCTACAAAACTCAAGTACATCTAAAGTGTGACATATAAAATGAATATCGAGAGCCATCCTGCTCACATAATACCTTCGCTACGTGGAACCTCAATACATATGAATTCATCAAGCCATTTCAAAACTCACACGGCACAACATAGTATTACAGGAAATAACCGACGAAAAAATAACATTCAATGCTCGAATACTCCTCCATAAGGAGTGATATGCCGAAATGAACCCATCTGGCCTGATATAGAGCCTATATTCATGTTTTAATCCACCCATCGACCTCGAGCCGATTCTTATCGCACCGTACTAGGCTAATAGCCTTTCAAGAATTCATTATAACTCCTTCTTCCCCATAACACACAAGAACAACCATTACCATCATAACAAACTCCCACAGTCCACAACCAATAGACCATGCGCCATCGAGGCATAAATTCTCAAATTGGCTCTGTTACTACAATCTTCACACTTGGTTTAAATCTTCAATCAATTAAGTGACTGCATTTCACACTTATACAATCTCCCCGTGGGGTACACTTCATGATCTCCCGCACTAGGTAACAAGTATGCACATCCATACCACTGGTCAGACTAGCTGCAAAGCAAATCAAGAATCCATAACTAGGATGCAAGGCCTCTTTTACAAAACACCGATCTCAAGTGGCTCTGAAGACAATACCATCTTACTCTAAACACTCAAATCCCTTTCATGCTTATCCGAGCTCGTGACATCCTTTCCAACATCGAACCACAGCCTTGATCCTCACTTTTAAATTTCATACCGCTTACTGCACCTAACTGGCTAATATGCGATAGTACAA